TCTGTCTCTCTCTCTATTTATCTGTCTGTCTATCTGTCTGTCTCTCTGTCTCTCTGTCTGCCTGTCTGTCTCTCAGTTTGTGTATCACGCCTGGATCACAGACTCCAGAACAGCAATGAGAGTTCGCAACAACCAAGAGAAACTGTGGAAGAAGAACTCCTCTGATCGAAAGAGCAGGAAGGAGGAGAAGAGAGGAGGTGAGGAGGAGGAGAGAGGAGGTGAGGAGGAGAAGAGAGGAGGTGAGGAGGAGGAGGAGAGAGGAGGTGAGGAGGAGGAGAGAGGAGGTGAGGAGGAGAAGAGAGGAGGTGAGGAGGAGGAGAGAGGAGGTGAGGAGGAGGAGGAGAGAGGAGGTGAGGAGGAAGAGGAGGAGAAGAGGACAGACTCAGATTTACATTAAAGGTGTTTTCAATAATTGCCTCCATAAAGTATTGTATTATTATATTATATATTATTATATTATTATATTAGTATAATATTATATATTAGTATTATATTATATTATATATTAGTATTATATTTTATATTATATATTATTATATTATTATATTATATATTAGTATAATATTATATTATTATATTTTATATTAGTAAAGTAACGTCAGGAACAAGAAGACCTGAGAAAATAATGTGATGCAGTAAATAAACCACAGAAGAAGACATACTAACTGCTCCTCCTCTCCTGCAGCCGGAGGAATAGAAGTGACGGAGGACACGGAGGAGGATGGAGAGGAGGAGGAGGAGGAGGAGAAAGAGGAGGGACCAGGTAGGAGGAGTCTGAAGAGGCTCCACTCTGACATCACTTCCTGTCTGGATCCTGTAACTCTACGTTGTATGTTTCAGACACCGTCCTGCGTCGGTTCTCCAGCACGTTGCGGTTCTGTTGGGTTCTGCTGTCGGCTTTGCTGGACTCTCTGACTGCCTGGCTCAGCGGTCTGTGTCAGGAGCACATCGACATCTCCACCGTCCTCCGCATCGAGCGCCGCATGCTAACGCAGCAGGCCAAGCAGGTACACATTCTAAGGACTACAGCTGGTGGAACTACAACAAAGATGGAGGAGTCGAGTTGATTTGTTTGTTATTTGATTGTTTGTTCAGGGTAATGTTCCCACCAGAGAGGCGATCCACATTTACTACCAAGAACAGATGATGAAGGCCTCCAGAGAGTCAGGTCTGAACTACAGTACCCATGAGGCTGAGCGGCAGGCCTCAGCAGAGACCAGAAGGGAGGAAGAAGAAGAGGCAGTAAGTCCTGATACTGATGAGGAACCAGATAGTAATCCAGATAAACCAGAATCAGGACCACTATCAGGAGGAGCTCCACTTGAACCAGAACCAATATCAGGAGGAGATGGTTCAGGTGAACCAGAACCAGTATCAGGAGGAGAGGGTTCAGGTGAACCAGAAGCAGAACCAATATCAGGAGGAGATGGTCCAGGTGAACCAGAAGAAGAACCAGTATCTCTAGCAGATGGTCCAAGTGAACCAGAAACAGAACCCGTATCTGGAGCAGATAGTCCAGGTGAAGCAGAACCAGTATCTAGAGCTGAGTATCCAGGTGAACTAGAAGCAGAACCAGTATCTGGAGGAGATGGACTAGGTGAACCAGAAGAAGAACCAGTATCTGGAGGAGATGGTCCAGGTGAACCAGTTTCAGCAGAGCCTCCATCCTCAGGACTTGAACCAGAGAGAGTAACAGTGGAAGATTACTCAGTAGGCCCGGTGACTTCAATCAGCCAAAGAAGGCGACCCAAACTGACCCGGATGGAGAGAGTCCAGTCTTCATGGTCCTCCTCGTCTTCAGAGGAAGAATCGATGAGGTGGGTCCTCCTGGAGGAGGAGAAACATGATCAAGATAATTGTTCCTGTAGATGTTTCCCTCTCTTTTATTATTTCTGTGTGTCTGTTTGAACAGAACTGAAGAATCAAAGCCGACTCACACCAGCGCCTCCTCCCCCACCTCCCGCTGCTCCCTCCTCCTCCCCCCTTCCTACAGCCTTGCTCTAGGGCTGGATCTGCATGAGGAGGAGGAGGAGGAAGAGGAGGAGGCTGGGGAGGGATTCAGGAAGCGGCGGCGGAGTGACTTCCTGTCTGACTCGGCCTCCACTTCCTGTCCGGCGGCGGCGTCTCGCGCTCAGGAGCTGACGGCCAGCGAGCTGCTGCGGAGCAGGTGAGTCACCTGAGATCCTCCACACCTGTGACCCTGCTTGAGGTTTCACACCATCTCTGCTTCGCTCCCGTGTTTTTTTAGGACTTTCTACGACGAGGAGCTGGAGGCGTCGGACTGTTTCTACGGCGACCAGCACCAGCTGCTCCAGATGTGCTACGCCCTCTACAACATCCTGGCAGCCAGGTGAGCTCCGACCTACAGGTGAGTCCTTCAGATATCCCTCTGCTGTTGCTAAGATGCTCCCTCTGTCAGGTCGGAGACGGTGTGCTACCTGGTCATCGTGTTGAACCACATGGTGTCCGCCAGCTGTCTGACGTTGGTACTTCCTGTTCTGGTGTTTCTGTGGGCGACGCTGTCTGTCCCTCGGCCCAGTAAGACCTTCTGGATGACGGCCATCATCTACACCGAGGTTCTCACAACTTTATTTAAAATGTTCATTCACCGGTCGACAGGTCAGTGTTTTAACATTCAGTATGTCCACCTGTCTGTGTCCTCAGGTCACCATCGTCATCAAGTATTTCTTCCAGTTCGGTTTCTTTCCGTTCAACCAGAAGCTGGAGGTGGATCGCTCCAAACCGTTCCATCCCCCAAACATCCTGGGGGTGGAGAAGAAGGAAGGCTATGTCCTCTATGACCTCCTGCAGCTGCTTGCTTTGTTTTACCACAGAGCCATACTCAAGGTAAAAAGCTCTAAATTATAGAACACTGAGTCATATTTAAGGTAAGAAGCTCTAAATTATAAACTTTACCCTCCACAGTGTCACGGACTCTGGGATCAGACCACGGAGACCGATGCCGTCCATCACCATGATAACCAGGCAGACTCCGCCTCCGTCGATCCGACCGAGCTCACCGGCACCGTGCGGCGGCGTCGAGGCCGGAGACGGACGAATTCCGGCTCCAGCCAGCTGCGCTCTCCTGCAGGTAGAACCTGACACATCTGAACTTAAAGGCTACCATCTCACGATAAAGGGACGAGCACTGATAACGGGTCCTGGTCCAGCACTAATAATGGGTCCTGGTCCAGCACTAATAGCACTAACCTGGTCCAGACGATGTGATCCTGTTGGATCATCTCGATCCCTCAGCTCTGGTTCATGAGCTTCGGGTTCAGACTGAAAGTGGCCGATTAAAGTTTCTTAAGCTCGACAAATTCTTTGTTTTCCAAAAATATCTCTGTCCACTCGAGAATGAATAAATAACTCCAAACGATTGCAGTTTCTGAGCATGCTCAGTGCGTTTATTTTCCTTTAGAGGTATTATTTGCAAATAAAGGATTAACTTAAAACATCAGACACAAGGTGGCCTGTAGCTCAGTTCATAGGGACTTGACTTGTTAACTGATAGGTCGCCGGTTCAAGTACAAATACATTCATAATAGTATGTATATAAGTACTGTTGACATGTTCCTCTCTGTGTGCTTTCAGGCAGTTTGAGCTCCAGAGCTCAGCAGCCCGGCAGGTTTGATCTGCTGCTGGAGAAACTCAGGGAGCTCTCCATCAGAGCCAAGGAGTACTCTGTTAGCAGGTATGCTAACGCTCCAACTAACCAGTGACATCAAGTCTCATTTATTACTCAGCAGATTCTATGATCAATGGATTTATATGAATACGATCCAAAAATAAAAATAATTGGAGGATAAAAATAAGGAGAAACTCATCTAAATACTTCTCTCTCTCTTTCAGGTGTTTGTCTCTCTACCGTCCCGTCCTTCACTTCTTCAGAGCTCTAGTCCAACCAGAATACAGCGCCGTCACTGACGTTTACGTCCTCATGTTCCTCGCCGACACCGTCGACTTCATCATCATCGTCTTCGGCTTCTGGGCCTTTGGAGTAAAGTTTCATTCACTGATGCATCCCATCATGTTCACTCTGTTTTTATTCCATTTCATCTTCTTAACTTCATTGTTTTATTCATGTTTATTGTTTTATTCTTCATTGTTTTACTCTGTTATTTCCCAGAAACACTCTGCGGCTGCTGACATCACTTCCTCCCTCTCAGAGGACCAGGTTCCTGAAGCGTTCTTGGTGATGGTTCTGATCCAGTTTGGTACGTCTACCTGTCTGCTTGTCTCTGTGTCTGTCTGTCTGTCTGTTTAGCTGTCTCACTGTCCACCTGTCTGTCTGCAGGTACCATGGTGATAGACAGGGCTCTGTATTTGAGGAAGACCGTTTTAGGGAAGTTAGTCTTTCAGGTGATTTTGGTTTTTGGGATTCACTTCTGGATGTTCTTCATCCTGCCGACCGTCACTGAGAGGTGAGTCACCTTTACCGGCTGCCTCATTAGCATAATGAAGCAGTATCATTAACATAATGAAGCTGTATCATTAACATAATGAAGCTGCCACATTAACATAATGAAGCTGCCACATTAGCATAATGAAGCGGCAGCATGAGCATAATGAAGCGGTAGCATGAGCATAATGAAGCTGTATCATTAACATAATGAAGCTGCATCATTAACATAATGAAGCTGCATTATTAACATAATGAAGCTGTATCATTAACATAATGCAGCTGTATCATTAACATTGAAGCTGTATCATTAACATAATGAAGCTGTATCATCAACATAACGAAGCAGTATCATTAACATAATGAAGATACATCATTAACATAATGAAGCTGCATCATAAGCATAATGAAGCTGTATCATTAACATAATGAAGCTGCATCATTAACATAATGAAGCTGCTAGAAGTTACAGAATCAGTAAGACCACTGCAGTAAATAAAACCTGATGTCTGTCTGTCTGTCCTTAGGCGATTCAATCAGAACCTGGTGGCTCAGCTCTGGTATTTTGTAAAGTGTGTTTACTTCGGGTTGTCGGCCTATCAGATTCGATCTGGATACCCGACACGAGTTCTGGGAAACTTCCTGACGAAGAGCTACAACTACCTCAACCTCTTCCTCTTCCAGGGGTGAGTCCGACTGTTAGCCTAGCTTAGCACTAAGATTGAAGTAAGGGGAAACTATTAGCCTAGTATAGCACTAAGGCCAAAAGTAAGGGGAAACTATAGGCCTAGCTTCGCACTAACAATGGAAGTAAGAGGAGACTATTAGCCTAGCTTAGCAATAAGCTCTGTCTACCTGTCTGTCTCTCTACTTGTCTCTCTACCTGTCGGTCTGTAGTTTCCGTCTGGTCCCCTTCCTGACCGAGCTGAGGGCGGTGATGGACTGGGTGTGGACAGACACTACTCTGTCTCTGTCTTCCTGGATCTGTGTGGAGGACGTTTATGCCCACTGCTTCGTCTTAAAGTGCTGGAGGGAGTCTGAGAAGGTATGTGTCTTTCTGTGTGTACATGTATGTTTACGTGTATTTGTACACAGATATACTCTTCGCCTCACAGGCAGAAGAAGTGTCTGCACATGTTTTTATACTTTGTATTTGGACACAGAGGTACCCTCAGCCTCGTGGGCAGAAGAAGAAGCGTGTGGTGAAGTACGGGATGGGCGGTCTGATCGTTCTGCTGCTGATCTGCATCGTTTGGTTTCCTCTGCTATTCATGTCTCTCGTCAAGTCTGTCGCCGGTGTCGTCAACCAACCGATTGACGTCTCTTTGACCATCACACTGGGAGGCTTCCAGGTAACGTCACCTGTACAGCCACACCTGTACCAACACACCTGTACAGCCACACCTGTACCAACACACCTGTACCAACACATCTGTACCAACGCATATAATAGTAATATAATAGTAGTTGTAGTAGTAGTATTAGTAGTACTATCACTGACTTGCTCTTGTTGTTGACAGTATTAGCAGTAATAGTAGTAGTTGCAGTAGTATTAGTAGTACTATTACTGACTTGCTCTTGTTGACAGTGTTAGCAGTAATAGTAGTAGTATTAGTAGTACTATCACTGACTTGCTCTTGTTGTTGACAGTATTATCAGTAATAGTAGTAGTACTATAATAGACTTGCTCCTGTTGTTGACAGTATTAGCAGTAATAGTAGTAGTTGTAGTAGTAGTATTAGTAGTATTATCATAGACTTGCTCTTGTTGTTGACAGCCCATCTTCACGATGAGTGCTCAGCAGAATCAACTCAAAGATCTGACTGAGGAAGACTTCAGCTCCTTCACCAGCTCCTACAGCTACACACCTGTGAGTACCTTTTCACTAACATTCATACACCGACTGCAGTTCTGGTGCTAAAGCTTGTAGGTTTATACCAGTAACTCTGTGGCTGTATTTCTCAGAGTGCCTTGCAGTTCCTGGAGGCTTACGGTCACGAGGACGTGACGGTGGCAGAGCTGCCCGGCAGCAGCAACTCTCTGTGGACCATCAGTCCTCCCAGCAGGCAGTACCTGAGCCAGGTGCTCAGTCTGGACCACTTCCCCCTCACGTTGTCCTGGACTGTTCAGAGGTCAGCTTCACTCTACTGATCAATAATCAATACTTATTAATCCTTCCGACATGCTAGACTATGTGTTTTGTCTCCCTGCAGGAAGAGGAGCCGAAACTAATGTATTTTATCACTATTAGTACTAGCTGTAGAAGTAGTAGTAGTATTCTTAGCTGTAGTAGTAGTAGTACTCAATCATTGTGCAGTACTCTATGTATTACAATGTGTACTGTTTTTTTAACAGGAATCTGAGTCTGGGGGCGAAGGCGGAGCTTGCATCAGGTAAACATGTGACCTATCTAGACGACCAGACTCGCCTGGAGCTGATCCAGCTGCTGAACGGGACGAGGTCACTTCCTGTGTGAGTACAGGGGCGGGGGCCTACATAGAAATGGGTGGGGCCATGTGTGCAAGTGTGTTTGTTGCAGGTAGAGTTGTGTTAAGTGTGTGTTTGTTTTCAGCGTCATACAGGAAGTGTTTCCGTGTTTCATTCGAGCTCCCAGCGACTCCAACTCCAAACCCATCCAACAGCTTTACCCAGGTTTCTATATTCATAATAAAAACATGAAGCTTCATTCATATTTACATATTATAAGGGATTAAAAATGTTACACGGTATTGTAAAATATTATGAAATATTGTTAAGGATTATTAATCAATCTAAAGGATTATAAAACATAAAGGACATCAAGAGATTTACAGTTTATAGTACTGCAGTACTCTCCGTTAACAAGTAGTACTGCAGTATTAGTTAACAGAGAGTACTGCAGTACTACTTGTTAACAAGAGAGTACTGCAGCAGTACTACCTGTTAACAAGAGAGTACTGCAGCAGTACTACCTGTTAACAAGAGAGTACTGCAGCAGTACTACCTGTTAACAAGAGAGTACTGCTCTCCTCTCTGGTCCAATCAGACGACCGCTACAAGGACATCCTACTGGCCCTGGAGCGGTCGACCAATCAGAGCCGAGAGATCCAGGACTGGTGGATCGTCGACCAACCAGCTGCCAGCCTGGTGCCCATCGGAGGCGGATCTTCGCTGAGTGACAGGAGGGAGGCGGGGCTTCAGCTGTTTGTGTTCAGTGATAAAGTCAGTCCTCCGAGTCTGGGCTTCCTGGCTGGATATGGGTACACAACATTACCTTCAAGTACTGCAATACCTGTAGTATTATTACTGCTTTAACACACGTTGGTACTGCAGTAGCTGTAGTACTATTACTACTTGTTGACGCTCTGTTCTCCCTCAGCATCATGGGACTTTATGCGTCGGTGGTTCTGGTGATCGGGAAGTTCGTGCGGGAGTTCTTCAGCGGGATCAGTCACTCCATCATGTTCGAGGAGCTTCCGTGTGTCGACCGCATTCTCAAACTCTGCACCGACGTCTTCCTGGTACACATGAAATAAGAAAACTTTATTAACACAGTCACACCATCAGTGTTGGCTGCTGTGATCTGATTGGTCGTTCTCTGTTCCAGGTGAGAGAGACAGGTGAGCTGGAGTTGGAGGAGGAGCTTTACGCCAAACTGATCTTCTTGTATCGATCGCCGGAGACTCTGATCAAATGGACACGACGATGACCTCATCGATCGATGCGGAACCTGTGGTGACATCACCACTGTCTCTGAATCTGTGGTTCCTCCATTCTCCAGGTGGAACCGTCAGTTAAAGAACATTTACTGAATTTTATTTTGAAGGTTTCGAGAAACGTTATTCTCTGTGTGACCAATGGGAGCAGTAGGGGGGCGGAGCTAACTGATCTGAGGACAGTGGTCATGTTTCCAATCAGTTCCACACTTGAAATGTAAAATGATCAACTGGAGCGAATAAACTCGGCTACAAGTGTTGATTCCTGATGATTAATAACTGAAGCCCCCCCCCACTGTAAAATCATATGACGCTGCTGCTGACACTCATTGACTTCCTGTGATACTGGAACTATTAAAGTTATTAATGTTTTATTAAACACTTCTGATGTATCAATCGAGTCACACAGCTGTTCTCACTTATTTCTATTAGCTTTATGTTAGCTGTATGTTAATTCTACATTCGCTGTTTTTAACTGTAATTAAAAACTAATTAGTTCTAAGTTCTACATTAGCTTTATGTTAGCCATACATTCACTTTGTGTTAGCTTTTCCTAAGCTAAATATTAGCTCTATTTTAGCTCTATTATGTTACAGGGTGTTTATCGACAGGTTAATAAACACCCTGTGGTGGAGAGGTGGGTGGATTGATACCTAAAATTGGCCTACTGATAATGATAAACACTGATATTAGAATGTATTATGATACTAAGCCTTGTTTTTAGTATCAATGATATTCAGGAACCAGATGTCCCGGTTTGTCTTGGTTTCCAGCTGGGTGTCCCGAGTCCTTACAAATATTTTTAAAACAACCATATTATTCCGGTTTTGACCTCAGTTAAAATTATCATATTAACTATTTAATACTTGTTTTCAGTGCGTATATAGGCGTTTATGATTTCCCATTCATTATTAAATTAAATTAAAATTCTACGATGAACATTTTTACTTGTGCTAATACACTAACCGCTGAAATAAATGTTCCTCTTCCTGATAAAAACTCTACCAAACGTTCACGTGTGTGTAGCTCTCGTTAGCATTAGCATAACGTAAGGTCTATTTAGCACCACATTAGCTTTATGTAACTTCTATACTTAAGCTCTATGTTGGCTCTGTCTGCTTTCACTAGCACTAAATTAGCTCCATGATAGCATACATACAAAGTTCTGCTTATAACCTACTGCTAACCCTACTACGGTAGCTAAAATATTAGCTCTGGGTTAGCTCCTTGTCAGTTCTACATTTGCTTTATGTTAGCGCTTGTTAGCTCATTCAAGCTGTGCTCATGGTGACAGGTGATTGTAGCAAAGCTAAGCTATGCTAAGATAGATGTAGGCTACTCTATAGGAAGGATAAAGGTGTGAGATGAACTAGTGTTAGGATGGAAATAAGTGAAAACAGCTGTTCATAGTCACATCATGACACTGGATGTATTTAGTCGGCCCGTTCTGTCCTACTGTAAGAAAACTGGAAGTACATGTAACACGTTTAAGAACTAGGTATTAATCGTTGATAGTAAATCTGTTCACGTCACTGTATTTTCTGACTTCTGTAAACTTGTGTCTTCTGTGAATATTTGAAACTAAAATAGTGAATAATTTAAAATAAAAGACATTTGTTTACCTGACAGAGTCAGCTGTTTGTTGGAGCAGTCACCCGTTGAGACACCTGTTCACCTGTTCACCATCTCAGCTCAGTTCTGAGACATCGAGTGAGGCTAAAGCACCAAACGTGACTAAAACACCAGAAAATACTGGATTAAACGTGAATTAAAACACCAGAAAATACTGGATTAAACGTGGATTAAAACACCAGAAAACACTGAACCAAACATGGACTAAAACACCAGAAAACACTGAACCAAACGTGGACTAAAACACCAGAAAACACTGAACCAAACGTGGACTAAAACACCAGAAAATACTGAACCAAACGTAGACTAAAACACCAGAAAATACTGAACCAAACGTGGACTAAAACACCAGAAAATACTGGATTAAACGTGGATTAAAACACCAGAAAACACTGGATTAAACGTGGACTAACACAGCAGAAAACACTGGATTAAACGTGGACTAACACACCAGAAAACACTGGATTAAACGTGGACTAACACACCAGAAAACATTGGATTAAACATGGACTAACACGCCAGAAAATACTGGATTAAACGTCGACTAAAACACCAGAAAATACTGAACCAAACGTGGACTAAAACACCAGAAAACACTGAACCAAATGTAGACTAAAACACTGGATTAAACATGGACTAACACACCAGAAAATACTGGATTAAACGTGGACTAAAACACCAGAAAACACTGGATTAAACCTGGACTAAAACACCAGAAAACACTGGATTAAACCTGGACTAAAACACCAGAAAACACTGGATTAAACGTGGATTAAAAYACCAGAAAATACTGGATTAAACGTGGACTAACACCAGAAAATACTGGATTAAACGTGGACTAAAACACCAGAAAACACTGGATTAAACGTGGATTAAAACACCAGAAAATACTGGATTAAACGTGGACTAAAAACACCAGAAAACACTGGATTAAACATGGACTATGAGAGAAATATTTGACAAAAAGCCAAACTCAATGTGCTATATTTTGATTTATTGATGGAAATGTTTCTGTTCAAATCAGCCAATCAGAGCAGAGAGTGAAAATTTACCAGCTGTTAAACGTCACCATCTGATTGGATGTTGAAGTTTTCAGTGGAAGATTTTAAGTCTCAAACCTCAGACTATATTTGTTTACTTTGAACAGCGTCATGCTGATGCAGATGTTGGTTCATCATTTATATCGAAGTGATTAACGATGTCAAAACATTTCAGGGACATTTAAAGGTACAGAGGAATAAATACGTTAAAACTCTTCCAGCAGCTCTTCGCCTCCTTTAAAAACAGTCTCGTCTCTTCAGTGGCTTCATTCCTCCTGCAGGTGTCCACATTAATACATCAAACATGACTAATATATATATGATGAGTATAAAAACACTCCCTGGCGTCTGATAAGAAGCAGGCAGTAAAATAAATGTGCTTCATTCAGCCATCTGGAAGACTTCCTTATTGCTACATGTGTCCCCCACATCCAGAACCAACACTTCCTGATGTGATGCTGATCGATGATGTCATGCTGATGTCATTGATGACTCGTGCTGTGAATCACTGTGTCGGCCTCCCGATTGGTCGGCCCTCCCTTCGTCCCTCCTCCTCCGTCTGCATTGAACCAGAATCCGCCTGTGAGATCATCCTCAGCTTCTCCCTGTTGGAGTACTTCCTGTGTGACGTCACATGGTGCAATGATGTCATCTCGGTGGACTCAAACGATTGGTCCTCCCCGTGTGTCAGTTTGCTGTAACCTGATGCTGCCGCACCCCCATTGCCGCCGGTCGGCAGGCTCCGCCTCCTCAAAGGGGCGGCCAAGGTGGACGAGGAGGAGGAGAGGAGGTGAGACAGGGAGGACAGTGACAGGTTGGAGGGGGTGAGGGAGGAGGAGGAGAGCAGGAGCAGCGCCTCCTTCTGGAGGCTGGAGGAGCTGCAGGACGCTGCTGGAGTGGAGGAGCACAGAGGAGGCGGAAGAGGAGGACATGCAAGCTCCTCCTCCTCCTCCTCCTCCTCCTCCTCCTCCTCCTCCTCCTCCTCCCCCCCCCTGTGGCCCACCCCCGCCCGGGCTGAGTGCCTCCTGGGGGGGGTGGAGGACCGCGGGCGGCGCAGCGGTAAGGTGAAGGAGCTGAGCGCCTCCTTCTGCAGGGAGGTCCAGCAGGTAGAGAGGTGGGGGGGGCTGAAGCTGGGGGGGGAGGGAGAGTCTGTGGGAGGAGGAGGAGGAGGAGGTGGTGGTGGGGGGAGGAAGAGCGTCTGGCTGCTCCTGGTAGATACTGAACACTGTGTCTCCTCCTCCTCCTCCTCCTCCTCCTCCCTCCCTCCTGTTCAGCAGCGAGGCGGGGTACGCCCTGGGTTTGGCCTCCAGGCTCTTGGATTGGACGTAGTTAACGAGGCCGTTGAGGGGATTGGCCGAGGAGCGGCGGGCGGAGGAGGAGGAGGCGGAGTTTGGTTTTCGGAGGCCGTGGAGGTCGATGACTGTCGAGTAAATGTCCCGCAGGTTGATCACTTTGGTCTTTTTGTCACGGTTCTCATGCAGGACGGCGTTCGCACAGATGAAGAGGAAGATCCCGATGCCCATGATGAGAGGACCCAAGACCTTCAGCCTATCAGAGTACAGATACCTGTAGAGACATTTAATACAGCCAATCACAGCACAGATACCTGTAGAGACATTTAATACAGCCAATCACAGCACAGATACATGTAGAGACATTTAATACAGCCAATCACAGCACAGATACATGTAGAGACATTTAATACAGCCAATCACAGCACAGATACCTGTAGAGACATTTAATACAGCCAATCACAGCACAGTTCTGGGGCTTCCATGTGCTTAGAACAAAGACTCGGGCCTATTTGTACTGCAGAGCAGTCAAAAGCCTGATTTGAGTTTTAAGATAACACCAAAGCTGCAGGAGACGCTGAGTTGCACCTAAGTGTGACTTTTATCCAAACTCAACACTGAGGTCTCATTGGACGAGAGCCACAGACACCCCAGGACTTCCTGCGCTGCAGCTCTGCCTGTCCCTGAAACTATAAAACTCTGCGTCTCCTCCAGCTCTTTGCCATCCCATGCGATGTGATTCACATGAGAGGGGGTGCTTTTAAAAGAACCTCGGTCATCGTCTTAACTTCGCTGGATGAATAGACTGCTTCTTTGGATCCTGAAGAAGAGAACGGATCGTTCCTGTTAAGGTCGATATATTGCCGGTCATAAGGACGAGAATTCTCTTAATTTCCAAAGAAAACTTTCTGCCACACAGAGGGAGCCGGGTTATAACCAAGAAATTGGAAGAACCACTTCGACCACGACGAAGTGGTCTCACAGTAAGAGGCTTAGTGTCTGGGCAGAGTTAGGTCATAGTGTGTTTATTACCTTGTTGTGTTTTGTTCTAAGTTTACTGTATTGTTATAACATGTTGTTGTCCAGTGCAGCTTGTTTTAAGTAGAGCTTTTATCCAATCAGATTTCACCTCTGTGTCTCTAGGTAAGAACAGAGGCCCGAGGCCTGCAGACTCACAAGTGCATCCATGGGCAGTTTAAGTGAATGGGGACGATATTGTTGATTGTCATAGTGTTCAACCAATCAGATCTTTAGTTTGACATGTTGGGCGTATTCTTTATTTATTGGTTTATTTGAACGGGATAGTGCACATTAATAAAAACATTTCTGCAAATGTGCCAGAGTTAGCCAAAAGGCTATTTTTCATCTGTAGTCCCAAGAGGCAGATGTTACACAATAAACCTAAAAACAATGTAAGATTAAAGTTAAAAGGTTATACAATATTGACACTTAACAATGCGTGTACAAACAATGAAAGAAGTGAGAATAAAACGTTATACATTGTCAAGTACAGACAAGACATGCAACACAGAGGCTCTCAAAGTCAGCACACACAAAGCAAATGAAAAGAAGGATAACTATGTTAAAATAGAAACATGGACTAAAGACAGTATTATGATGTAGTTGTTTAGACACTAAAAAACATCCACGTCAGAGGCACAAAACATAAAAGCATACGGAGTATGTGAAATACATAAATCAGTCAGACACAGCTAAGACATGCATGCAGGTAGTTGACGGTCGACTGGCAATTTAAAGAAAGACAGAAAGGTGACAACAGACAGAGAAACAGTTACAATCTAGTGCTGACAGAGCCGGGTACCAACTAACCATTTCTGTAAGTGGGATTTGAATGACCTGTATGTGTGTAGTTCTCTAATGGTCACTGGGATGGAGTTCCATTGTAGTGCAGCTTGTACAGAAAAGGCAGACTGACTGAAAGCACTTTTCCTGAGTGGGATAATGTGATCCCCTCTTGCTGCTCCTCTTGTGAGCCGATATCCAGTTGTTCTTGTGATCACAAATTGTTTGAGCGGAGGAGAGGTCAAGCCATGTATAATTTTGTACATCAGACAGACATTCACATATTTAATCATGTTCTCCCAACTAAACAAGTTATATTTTTTTAGTATAGGGCAATGATGAGAAAGAACAGATTTTTTATCAAGGATTTTGAGTGTATGTTTATACAATGACTGTAGTGGTTTCAGAGTAGTGATGCTAGCCTGTGACCAGGTTGTTAAACAGTAAGTGATATGGGAAACGACCATAGCAAACATGTATGTCTTAGCTGCCTCTGTTGACATGTAGTTTCGTGTGAACCTGAAATTTGATAGATTAAATTTGACCCGGTTACAGACCTTTTTCACCTGAGATTTGAATGACAATTTGGAATCAAAAAGTACTCCGAGATACTTGTAGTCAGGTACAACCCGTAGCCTCTCCCCAGATACAAAAACATCCGGCTCTACACTACCAGAGTTTGTTTTGGTAAAAAACATACACACTGTTTTGGATACGTTTAGTTGTAAACAGCATTGCTTTAACCATGCAGTTACATGAACCATGGAGTTAGTGAGTTCATTTGCCACTTGTCCCATTTTGCTACCATGCAAGTAAATCACAGTGTCATCTGCATACATTTGGATGTTTGTGTCAGGGCATGCTGATGGCAGATCATTGATACTGTATATAAAGAGAACAACAGTGGGCCCAGGACAGATCCTTGTGGGACGCCTGTGGACAAGTGGAGGGCGGTAGATTGATAGTTCTGTATTTGGACATACTGTGATCTATTTAGCAAATAAGATTCAATCCATTTAAGTGTACCTGAGGAGAAATTATAGCCGTGCAATTTAGACAAAAGAATGCTATGGTTAACAGTGTCAAATGCCTTCTTCAGATCAAGAAACACAACTCCAACAACTCCCCCTTTGTCCATTAGAAATTAGATTTTTTTCTGTGAAGAAACAGGTGCTGTCTCACTAGAATAATTGGCTCTGAAGCCGAATTGCATTGGGTGAAGGGCAAAAGAACTGGTATTCAAATGGCAGATCATTTGCTCAGCTACCAACTTCTCTGCAACGTTTGATATTGTTGGCAGGATATTGATGGGTCTGTAATTACAGGTAGAAAGGGGATCTCAATCTTTGAATACTGGAACAACAGCAGCTGACTTCCAAACACTGGGAAACATGCTCTGAGAGATTGAGAGGTTGATGATTCAGCTGATGGGATCTGTTAGTGTTGTGTTAAGTTCTTTGAGCATAACTGCATCCATACCAAATACATCCTTTGCTTTGGAAGGTTTAAGAGACCTGATTATTCTCGTGACCTCCGATTGAGTGACATTTCTTATGCTGAAGGTCGGCTCCAATGAATTTACTGTACAGACGTTGTGGCAAACCAGGGGGAAAAGCCGAGCCGACACAGCAGAGGAGGCGAATCCCCAAGCTCAGGTTGGGGGACGTGATAGAGGGAGTATACTATCCGGTGCAGATGCTGCAGCCACTAGGTACATGGCAGTGGTCACACCTGCAGCCCATGAGCTAATTGGAAGGAGCATATATTCCCAGGGCTGTGAAGCAGCAGCGGGAGACAGACTGGGCAGAGGATACAAGGATCCCCTGAACCTCTGGAGAGGAGTTTCAGCAGACCGGAGGTAATTAAGCGGACTCACCTCTCTCCTCTGCTGTGCCCAAACAGGACGGAGGAATCATCTCACGCTGGGTGTAGACTGAAGGCCAAAGACCCTGACCGGGAGGAATCTTTTGTTGAGTTTGACCCTATCCCGCTTTACCCTACCCTGTTTATTAAAGGACACTTTTTGTTACATGGCTACTGTCTCTGAGTCACCTGTTTTATCGCTGAATCTTGCTTCCACGTCCCCCGGGTTGCCACAACGTGTGTATTCTCAGGGGAGAAACATTTAGCAATAGTAGCTACTTCCGCTGGATTCCACTGTTGCTACTTCCGCTGGGTTATTTGACAGCTTTCCATTTATGTTAAGTTGCTGCAGCTTCCTTACTTTGTTGAAATGTCCCGTTAGCTTGTGTAACTGATCCCAGATCATTTTAGTTTTACCTCTTGCCTTTTCTATTATAGTCAGGAAAAAATCTGCCTTAGCTTTTCTTAATTTCTTTACCACTTTGTTCCTCAGCATAGCAAAATGTTGTCTGTCATGGCTCGATTTATTTTTAAATGCAGTTTTTAAGACACAATCATGGCTCGATTTATTTTTAAATGCAGTTTTTAAGACACAATCCCGTTCTTTCATTCATTTTAAGATATCATCATTTATCCAAGGAACAGTGTGTTTGATATTTTTGTGCCTAAATTTGCGATTAAAATCCTTGATAGTGTTCTCTAATTTCTTTGAGAACTTTTGACTGTCTTCCTCAATGTCTATTCCGAACAGTAGTTCATCCCAGTCAATTAGTTGAACAGTGTTTTTAAAATGTTCTTGATTGTTTTTGGGGATTCTGAAAGATTCATCATCCCTGAGAGAAGGCCTAAAACGCTTGCTGGTTAGTTTCCTGGCTACCAGAGTCAGATTGTGGTCGGAGAGACCAGTTACCATATTGAGAGATTTTAGAACTCTCTCAGGCCTATTACTAAATATTAAATTTATTTGGGTCCTGGAGGAATTTGTTATTCTTGTGGGCCCACTGATCAACTGCACAAGGTCAAAGTCATCAGTTATCACTTTAAGATTCTTTCTAGATGATTTGTCCTCCAATTGATGTTAAAATCACCCACAATAATTACCTCTTTACTGAAATTGCATTCTTTTAATAGTTTCTCAAATTCCTCATAGAAACTATTATTGGAAGAGGGAGGGCGATAAATTACAATAAGTGTGAAAGACATTTGTGGTGATAAGATTATATCTAGACCTATGCATTCCAAATCTTTACAGACAGTCCACTGGATTTCATTACACCGGATACTATCTCTCACATAGATCATGACACCACCACCCTTTGATCCAACCCCATCTCTCCTGTAAATGTTATAACCTGCCACTGTTATTGCTGCTGATGGAGCATTTTTGTGGAGCCAGGTCTCAGATAAACAAAGAAAGTCTAAATTGGAATCAAGCAAGAGATGATGGACTTGATCACTTTTAGATTTAATGCTTCTTATGTTCAGATGCCCACCTAAGAGACCTTTTGGCTTAACTTTAGGATCCCACAGATGTTCTTGAATGATTGACAGTCCGGAAGACGGCCCACTTCCTGTTCTTTGAGATCACGGGATTTAGCAGTTTCTTGTTTACATTTTGAGTAATCTTTCCAATTACACGTGGACTTTGACGTGTCAGTGGTACTCAGGTAGCCTGCTAAGTACGTCAGCATTAATGTGCGCCGTGATTGGTCAGTGGGCCAGCGTGACTGTTGCCAAACACAAAGCTAGCTAGCAGATCTTAGTGTTTAGTAAGAGTTCAGGTTGAAACATATGGAAGAAGTTATGACATGTTTAGTATTTTGCTTGGTGTAGATTCTTTTTTTTTTTTACCTAGCTTTGTTTTTAACACTCAACGGCTGAAGGAGGAGAAACAGATTTCTCAAGACCAGAAGAACTGGACATCGTATTAAAGGGTCGGTCAACCCCACAGCCAGCATGGAAAAGTATTTGTACGAACGGTATTTCTGGCTGACAGCGGCGGAGAAACGTTGCACATTTTATGGCAAAGAATGAAACTTTTGCTGAGACCCGAGTGGATCTACAACTCAACAAACACGTTCAGGAGGACCTCTGGCTGGAACTGAACCGCACCGATGTTCTGTACAACCGCATCATTAAACTCTTTGTTAACAAAGAAAGGAGGATGGACTTTGTCTTTAAGTGAACAGCAGCTGTGGTAAGTGAACTGCTTTTGTATTTTTACATCTGCAGTAGCGTTACTACTGTGTTCATGTGTCTATGGTGTCGTTCTTATGATATGGTTAATATCGTTCCCTCTGATGTGAATCATATTTGAATGGCTCGTGCTCTTCAGTGTGCGGTGGAATACGTGTGTTAGCGCCGCAGAGTTGCTGGATTGATTTGTTGCTTTGTTGTCATATAAATATATGTGACTGGTTCTTGTTCTTGTGTTAATTACGTTGATTCTGACTATATGTCCGTTAATGACGAAGCATCTCGTCATCACGGGGTTTGCCGCGGTTGTTTTCCCGTTAAGCTAGTTTAGCGTAGCCTCAGCTACGGTTCAGAAGTCACACAGTCCGTTGTCTCCTACGTGAGCGCAGTCCACTGAAAACATAATATTTCCCACAATTTAAGCTTCTGCATTTTCCAAATGCACTAGTATTATTCAAACGTATTGTTCGGTTCGTAAGCCTCGTACCGAACGGTTTAACATGAATACGTGTATTGTTACACCATAGAAACACATAATAAGCGTAGCTGTGGCTCATAATGAGGTTATTCAGCTGTAGTAGGACGGCACAGACGGCCCAGGTATGAAACACACGCGGTGATGTTAGATCATCACCACGAGGGAAGTTGGTAGTTGTGACTTTATCAGTTAAAAGACCAGAACCTCGGCTGAATCTAAGTTTTCTCACACACACACACACACACCAAAGTAACTGATAGATCTCAACAACAGATACCTGGAGAGACATTTAACACAGCCACTAATTTCTAAAGACTTACCTGTCCAGAAAATCCCCCAGAAAGCCTCGTGGAAGCCGTCCGGTCGTCCCGTTTATGGTTTCTGTCTGGTTGAAACCTCCTCCTCCTCCTCCTCCTCCTCCTCCTCCTCCTCCTCCTCCTCCCCTCACCTCCTCTCCTCCCTGGGGAAACAGTTAGAGAAACAAATCATCTTGTTTACAACTGGTTGGACTTCTGTGTGGAAGACAGTCCAGTGGTTTCCTGTTTCAACACGTCTGAACAAAGACTGAAAGCGATCGTGTGATTCTGGATCTCACCTGAGCCTCGGCAGGCGTGTCTCTGCTGGAGGACACCGAGGCCATGGCAGTGGCCTCCTGAGGCTGAGCGCTGAAGAACAGTCCGTCTCGAGGCCAGTAGCCCAGAGCCGCCATGACCACGCCCACCAGCAGGACCAGGACGCCCAGCGCCGCCACCAGACCCGAGACCGAAAACAGCTTGAGCTTCCCCTTCACTACCACCACCTCGTTCCTGAGGAGGCAGGAAGTGACATCATTGTGTACAGGCCGGTGACGTCACAGCCGAGGTTCAGACTGTGTGTGTGTGTGTTACCTCTTATTCTTGTTCTTCCTCTTGTGTGTGTGTGCTTTGGACCTCAGTGAGTCTTGTCGCCGTGCGTTGATCCGCAGGAGGCCGCCAGTCGCGATCATTATCACCCACCAATCAGACGGTGGCTAAGCAGGCTAAGCCCCGCCCACTGCCACCTCACCTGGACTCAGTCACCGACTTCCTGTAAGAGAGACAGGTAGAGGGACAGAGAGACAGGTAGAGGGACAGGTAGAGGGACAGAGACAGGTACAGGCAGAGAGACAGGTAGAGGGACAGAGACAGGTAGAGGGACAGAGACAGGTACAGGCATAGAGACAGGTAGAGGGACAGAGACAGGTACAGGCAGAGAGACAGGTAGAGGGACAGAGACAGGTAGAGGGACAGAGACAGAGAGAGGTAGAGGGAGAGAGACAGGTAGAGGCAGAGAGACAGGTAGAGGGACAGAGACAGGTAGAGGGAGAGAGACAGGTAGTGGCAGAGAGACAGGTAGAGGGACAGAGACAGGTAGAGGGACAGAGACAGGTAGAGGGACAGAGACAGGCAGAGAGACAGGTAGAGGGACAGAGACAGGTAGAGGCAGAGAGACAGGTAGAGGGACAGAGACAGGGCGGTTATCTTCTTGTGAAAAACATTTCAACATGTAATGTACGTGGACAAAGAGACACTGATTTATTATCATGAGCTCATTAATATTACCTCAAGCATCTCTATGACTTGACCACAAACGACCACAGACACAAAACGTCAAAGAGACAAAACAAGTGCCTACATCTCCCAACATGCATTCCCCCAACAGACATCCACAGGAGTCTGTGACTCACGTGTTCCTCCTCCACCTCTTACAGCTACTAATATACATCAGTCCTTCAGTTCATTCAACCGATCAACAACGACATACAAATAGAGTCCAGAGAAGACAAGACCAGCAACACACACACACACATACACACAAACAATCAGTATTGATCATATCTATCAGCATAGATCAGTGCTGTACTGCTGGTCTGTCAGTCACTACTGCAGCATGTTGATTGACAGCAGACCACAGAACCAATCAGAATGAGATCTCACCGTTGGAGCTCCAGTCGCTTCATGTTTCTCCTCTTTTCTCTTCATCCTCCTGCTGCTGCTGCTAGTCATTAAATGTGTCCTCTCATCATCTCCCCCTGTTCTCTCTCTGTCTCTTTCTCTCCCTCCCTCCTCTGCAGTGATGTTGAGTGTAAATGAATTTCCTCCTCCAGAGAGAGAGAGAGAGAGAGAGAGAGAGAGAGAGAGAGAGAGAGAGA